AATTTTCACAAATATCAGGTAGCAAATAGTCATGGCACCAAGGATTGCCCTATGAATGCAACTTAATTGAATGTGTATATTGATACACAATTAAGCTGTATTCATAGAGCAATCCTTGGTGCCATGACTACTTGCTACCTAATATTTAGTATAAAATTTAAAATCTGTCTTTGAACAATTCCACAAAAATGCCCTCTTTCACGAGTTAAACATGTATGCTTACTGAAAGATTTTATGTTGATCTGTTTGTCGTCAAGTTTGTTTTACCAAATTTGTCACTGCTAAAGTGTTTGCTTATAACTCATTCATATCATTCCTAATCTTTTTATTATTTCTCCAATTACAATGATTACTGTTTCAAAAATATTTGTCATGTTAAAAAAAGGACTGAAAAAAGGTGCATTTGAAAGGACTGGATTGGAATAAAGACACATTTGTATGTATTGTCTTAGAAGAATCTTTTTAAAGATTTTTTGTAATATTTGTCGTGTTGTTCTAGAAGTAACTTGTAATTTATAATGTTGCATATTCTTTCATTAATATTGGCATGATTCTATCCTCTCACTTCACAGCTCATGTGATAACTTTGTAAATCATTCACAATTTCATCAATCATTTCCTTTTCTTGTTGGGATGCCACTATATTCCAATTAGAAAATTCTTGAGAATTCTGTAATCCTGCATCTGCAAGTGTATAGGAACACTACTGGCAATTCAACAATCCAAAACTACAGTTTAATTATATTTATTGATATTTTGGTTGACTATGTACCTAACTAGATGCATTTTGGGCTGACTTACATTTTACGGCCCCCCCATCAGTAACTAAAATTATTAAGAACTAGGTACAAGTATAAAGCTAATTAAACATTAAACTGATGATAAAACATAATAGTAATATCTTACTTTGTATAGAATCAACTGTTACCTTAAAAAACAAAAGTATGTGGACATGATACGAGACATATTTCACCAATACATACAGCAAATGATAGACTGATAACATCTATAATCTAATGCACTGTATCAGTCTACATTTGCTGTATGTATTGGTGAAATATGTCCCATACTGTTTTTTAAGATAACAGTTGATTCTATACAAAGTAAGATATTACTATTATATTTTATCATCATGTTTATGTTTAATTAACTTTATACTTATACCTAGTTCTTAATAATTTTAGTTACTGATGGGGGGCCGTAAAATGTAAGTCGGCCCGAAATGCATCAACCAAAAAACAAAATTAAACCATAGTTTTGAATCGTTGAATTACAGGTAGCATTCCTATACAGTTGCAGATGCATAATTACAGAATTCTTAACAATTTTCTAATTTATAAATTATCATCTGAATTGTTAAACCTATCTTGGTATAGTTTTTCTTTACTGCAGATACATGCAACTCATTCATCTATTGTATTCTTGCTATCATTAAATGCCACAAATGTACACATCTTTCTGACAAATGCATCTGAAAGTGCATTTTTCCATTCCATCCAAATTCCATATACACTGTTTATGAATAGCTACCAATTTTTTGCAATACTTATCAACTTAGAGCTAACGACCATTAATTTATCAACATTCATCCATCCATCCAATGCAATCACTTAAACTGTTGTAACCAATCTGAAAAAACAGTCATCTTCATCATTAAAAACATTAATACTACTCAAGATATCAGGTCAAATAAACAGGTGTGTGAATGACTAGCTCTTGGTGCTGAATTAGGAACCAAAGCATCTCTTTTGCTGCACCACCTTGGACAACAACTTAATCTACAATACAGTGGGTGATCTGTTAATGAACTTAATCTGTTCCAAGACCATGTTTACTTCCCAAATTTAACGTTAACCGATTATCGATTTACCATAGATTTTTGTGGGAATTTGATTAATTCATTCTGGAGACCCCAAAAATAAAAAATTATATGCTTTCTTACTATGTTTATTTACATGTAATAACAAACTAAAAGCAATCTCCATTTTTGCATGGATGGCACATCTTTGTTTCTCAGATGTGATTTTCATTACTCCTTTATCTGCTTGTCTTTTTGATTATATCTTTCTTAGCTAAGATTGTATCTACTATAGACCTGTTGAAATCATCTGCCTACAATATCAAACATCATCTGCCCACTCTCTACCTTGGCTATTATTTATCTTGCTTAGTTTTTATAGTTTTATCTTGCTTAGTTTTACACAGCACTGTTTTTAGGCCCTATAATATTATCAGTTTTTTAAATAAAAAGTTCAGAAAAGCACTTACAAAAATTCAGAGAACAGAAATTAACTAGTGCAAGAAAAGGTTATGTATACAACTGTAAATATCTCGTTCCATAAACTATGTATAGATGCCATTAAAATATAGTTTTACAAATCTTAAATGCAACATCACTTGTGTTTGTTCAGTCAGGTGTTCGTTGTCCAAACGTAAAAATCTTTCACAAAAGTGTTTGCAGTCTTAACTGTTCGTTAACTGATTACACACTGTACTATGTTATACAGGTGTCACATCTCCACTGGCCTTGATAAATCAAATCAAAATAACTTATAATCATAACATATAATATCTCAAGAGTTGTACTATCTCAGTTCTAAAATGTATTATTTTATCAAAAAACATTAAAATTGTTTTAAGTATATGTAAATGGCTTTATCATCAAGCATGGAATAAATTTCTTGCATGACGTATACATCATCATCAAATTATCTCCTCATACTATTCTATCTTGTATGATTTTCTTCATTCACATTTTTTGACTGAATAAAGTAAATACTTACTGTACAATTAACTAGTACTTTCAAAAATAATCAGGGGACCCAAAAATAATGGGAAAAATTTCAGAAAGATAATGTATTTTAACAACAACATATTTTAATATTTTTCAAAATACTCTCATTAGCCTCAATACACTTGTCCATACGTTTTTTCATTGTTCAAAACACCTAGAAAATTTCTGTTCCGAAATGTCTCTGTCATTTTTGTTTTCACCTCTTCTACTGTCTGAAATTGCTTCTCTTCATCCTGGAGAACAAAAAAAAATTGCAAGGTGTGAGATCAGGCAAATAGGGGGAGGGTCATGCTATTTCTCGTCAAAAACTGCTGCATGGAGAGTGTCATGTGAGCTGGCACATTGTCGTGGTGGAAAAACCAATCCCCGTTCACCACAAGTCCCTTCTTTTTCTTCTCACAGCATCAAAAAGTCTTTTGAGGACTTCCAAATAACAATGTCAATTGACTGTCTGGCCTGGATGGACAAATTCAGAATGAACAATTCCTTTCACATAAAAAGAAACAGATTAAAATGGTTTTCACGTTCAACTTCACTTGTCTTACTTTTTTGGGACAACAAGATCCTAATATTTTCCACTGGCTGGATCAGCATTTGGTTTCCGAATCATAACCATAACACTGCAATTCAAATTCACCACCACCAGTTATTACCTTAGAAAACAAGTCTGGATCATTTTCCAAATGTTTTTTCAAAGCCTGACAAGCTACCAAGCAATTGTCTTTCTGATCAGCGGTCAACAAATGCAGAACAAACTTTATGAAAACTCTTCTCATGCAGAGTTCTTATGACAAAATTTGCTGAATCAAGAGAATTTGCTGATATTCTGGGATTTCAGAGAGTTCAATACTCCATGAAATCCCAGACAAATCAATGAGTTCTTCAATGGTTCAACGGCAATCTTTGTTGATAAAATCACGAATTTTCTCAACATTTCTCCTTTTTGAAAGTGGAAAACCACTTGTAAACCCTTGTCTTACTCATGGCATGTAGAATCATTTCAATCATTTCTAATCCACTTTTTCGCTAACAGGAAACAAAATTTCACAGCAGCACATTGCTCTTTAAAATCTAACATCATGTTTTCGACTAAAACGAAAAACAGCTATCTGAAAAAAAATCACTATGGGCCAACAAGTCTTGACATGCTGATGCTGCTTCACATACCGATTCCGGAAGATTCCATATACCGACATCTAGCGGCAAATAAGTGTACTACGAACTTCCCGCCCTTCACAAAATTTTTCCAGTTATTTTTGGATTCCCCCACATACACGTTCATCTTAAAATATAATCGTCATCTAACTTAAAATTATATTTTTATATCAACTATATTATTAAGATGTGAAAATTCTTTGAAATTACCGATTACTTCGTTAAAAATTAAAGTACGATATTTAATTTTTTAAATATCATCCAACATAATATAAACCAGAAGTTCACTCAGAAGGAAAAAAACCCAAAAGAAAAAAAAAATGTTTAATCTCAGACCTCAAAGAAAACAACATAATTATGTTTAGCTAAGTTGATTTGAATGTTTGGAACAGATCCAAAGAATATGAGTTCGGCTCTTATCCGGAATAAATTTTTTGTTTTGATTTTTTTCTTGTCTACCTAATTGGAAATTGATTCTACATATAAAACTTTATAAATTACATTCCACAAAGTAAAAAAAAAAAAACCTCTCTTAACCCTTAAGAATTTTTTTTTTAAATCTTGTAAAATCAGTCTAAATAAAGCGGATCAATGCTCAAGATCGGAAGACGCAACTCATAAAAAAAGATCAATACAGATAACGCTCGATATTCAAACGTCTCGAAGGTTAAAATTCTGAAAATAAACGATAAGTAATATATATATATCATCAACATTTTATATCATCATTTAATTAAAAAACAACCCAATCTTTACACGGATCACAAAAACATTTCTAATATATAAAATTTAAGATTAAATACAAATAATTTAAAAACATTTGCAGATAAATAGATAATAACTCTCAAATAATTGATATATATAAAACTTTTTCAAGCCAAACTTTAATAAATATTAATAGCAAGCATTATAAGTAAACTTTATACTCATAATGTGTTATTAATATTTAATAGTGTTGATATGTAACAACTGGAAATACCAAATATAATTATAATATAGATGTGGTATATATATTATAGATTTAGAAAAGATCATTGATTTTTTTAGGTACCTTTATATAGTTGTGTAATTGCTGTGGCTGTAGTTTGAAACATTATCCATAATTTATTTCCACTGGTTTCCTTCATTTCGATTAATTGTTTTTCTAAATCTGGTTCATTTTCTAGTTCCTCTATACTCTGTTGTTCGAATAGGGTAAAGTTCCTCCAATCAATTTCGTTCGATTCGTTCATTTTCTATTCACTTTATTGGACTTATTATAACAAACAATACGTTATCATAATCTTATATTACGGATAATAAAGAATCTAACACTGAATTCGTCTATGTAAAAACTAAAGTACGGTAATGGCGAACAGCATTCCGCAATATACCAAGGAATCAGCTAACGTGAGAAGTATGGTTGATTAGATTCTCACGGATGCAGCGCCACATTAAAATGCAGATATATTACAGATGCAAAAATATATATTAAAAAATTTTAATGTAATTTTAATATTATAAAAGATGAATAATAATTATTCTAATCTTTATGCAAATAATAGTAATGCTATATTATCAATATATTCTTTGATATTAAAATTTTTGTTTTTCTTACATTAATATCACATTTCTCCACCTGTTTTTCTAATTTTCTCCAGCCGATTTCAACGTTAATAATATTTTTTAATATCCCTTTCGTAAATTTAATTCAGATGCCCATGGCAAAGGATATTTTTTTTTATTTAATCTTTTCTCCCTGTGAGCACTAAGAGGGTCTTATTTAGCGAGCCCATTATGGATTCGGCCAGACCCACAATGGGGCGGCTGGTTGGTGAGGAACGGGGAAAGATGTATCCACGGACCACCCCCGAAAAATTCTTGGGGATTTTTCAAAACCGGGTTCCTTCCCGCTCGACCATCCGGAAAAGGATAGTGGAGTTTATTACTTTTCCGGCTGGTATATATATATAAGTGGAAAAGTATGGCGAACGGTCAAAAATATCGTCACAGAGGAGTAGTATAGCTCTCAGCTTTTTCACTCCGGAAGAAACAGGAAGGAAGAGTCGGTCTTATAGAAGACGACCAATCCGAGGAACTGGATCATTTTCCAAATGTTTTTTCAAAGCCTGACAAGCTACCAAGCAATTGTCTTTCTGATCAGCGGTCAACAAATGCAGAACAAACTTTATGAAAACTCTTCTCATGCAGAGTTCTTATGACAAAATTTGCTGAATCAAGAGAATTTGCTGATATTCTGGGATTTCAGAGAGTTCAATACTCCATGAAATCCCAGACAAATCAATGAGTTCTTCAATGGTTCAACGGCAATCTTTGTTGATAAAATCACGAATTTTCTCAACATTTCTCCTTTTTGAAAGTGGAAAACCACTTGTAAACCCTTGTCTTACTCATGGCATGTAGAATCATTTCAATCATTTCTAATCCACTTTTTCGCTAACAGGAAACAAAATTTCACAGCAGCACATTGCTCTTTAAAATCTAACATCATGTTTTCGACTAAAACGAAAAACAGCTATCTGAAAAAAANAGACGACCCCCGCGAGAAAGGGAGACAGAAATGCCTTCCGGGAGGACTTGGAGGGAAAGCTGGCCCCTATTCAGGCGTCATTGGCAAGGAGGAAAACCCGGAAAAACTTCCGCTGCCAGCTCGTCCGAGTGAGGCGCGAACCTCCGATCGAACTCCGGTGTTTAGGGTCTGGTCACCACTATCAAGCGGAGACGGAGTCCACTCGGCCGCCGCGGTCAAAAATATAAACCCCTAAGGATTTAACATTTTTCGGCTCGGGACCTTCAAACGTCAAGAAATGCAAAACAAAAAAAAAATTGTGGTTTTTTCTGTATGTATGGATGTTACTTTGTGTTGTGTATTAGAGAGACTGACGCTATTAAATGTTAGTACTTAAATGTCCACAGAGTGGAGAGATAAAGAGAATCGTGTGTTATGTCATATCTGGAATAGAATAGGACTTAATTACGACTTTACTCGTTAGTACCATTTACAATTTTTTTTTGTAATAAAATCCATCACTACCCTCGAAATTAAGTTTATTGCCATTTTATAATAGTTGAAAATATAAAAAGATTTTAATATATTATAACAGATGGCGCCATCAAATATTGCCGGAAAAGTTAAGCAACTCGTTGCTGAATTTTTAAAGAATTATTCTGCCGATGTTAAAAACGTGTTTATCAAAAGTCTCGCGGATCTCATTTTAATATTGAATTCCATGTTTTTCAAGTCACATTTTGCTGATTTTTGTTTCATTATGAATATTTGCTCATTTTTATATTTAATAAGTTTTATTAAATATAAAAATTTATAAAGAATCGTGAAAATTTCACGTACAAATGTAATTGTTGAAGTCATTATAATTCTGGTTTGAACACATATCGATTGCAAGGTGTGTTTGGTTAAAATTCAACGTGGAAATGGTTTTCTCCTGTAGTGCATTATTCTGTGGTAAAATGTTTTACTAGTAGAACACCGGTCGAATTATTATAAGTTGCCTTGGCCAGTTATAGTCGTTTAAACAGTTTTTAATTAAACACAAAAACACTGCTTGATGTTTCATTTTCACTGTCGTTGTTCTATACATTTTAATCGATGTGGGAGAACGAATCTCGAATCGTCTCGAAGTATCCGTCCGTAAATTGGGATGGAAATTCAAATCCTGTTGATTAAGTCGTAGCCGAGTGAAAGTGTCATATTCGGGTAAAAGGTCACTTCTGGTGGCTGTGTCGCATTCGGTGGGAAGTCGAAATCCGTGCAAGAAGGCCTCGGCAGATAAAGTATTTATGTTTTCCAGCAGCAAAACAACGTTTTCCACCAAGGCCTTTTACGCTCGACGGATTCTTTTATCATTTCTTCGGACTCCTTTCTGTCCAATCCCGTCTCTCCTGACCTTGTCTCGACCGTCCATTCCGGAACTTCGGGGTATCGCCGCTCCAGATAATGAACGAGAGACGAAGCGCTGTCGCCCGGAGTTATGACGACCTTTTTTTCTTTCTTTCTTCTCTAATATGGAGATTCTGGATGGATCGCCTTTTCTCAGATGTACTGTACTCTTGTCCGTAATTAGACAAATCTATGTGTGCGAGCTATGTAGCGTTAGGTAACAGCCAGGTCTCCCTGATGTTGTGGTCCGGGATGACAATCCCCATCGATGTGCGTATCCTTGACTTGGAGGCATCCGCCCCTATGAGGATCCTTCCCTGCCAGGTTGACATTTGCATCTCTCGGAATCGTGCACATGCGATTTCCGGGGGTTCCGAAGGAGAGCGAGTTAGCTCTTCAAGACGTAAGTGAGGATAAACCCGGGCCATGTTGGGCGGAGTATGTTTCTGCTGATATAGGTGGGATATCGGGAGCTTCTCCTGACGTATAAGGGATATTATTCTGTGAATATACGGTCTCTGATACGGACGCCAGCAATAGTAATCCAAGCCATGTGCCGTAATAAAGAGCAGGTGCAGTGGGCTGTGCGAGCCCCTGGAGATGTGGGTGATGGCGCTTGCCAACGCTTTCTGGCGGAGCCTGAGATGTAGTGGTATATAAGACATTTCAGTGTATAGCGAGATGATTGGGGTGGTTTTTGGGATGCCCAATGCGGTACGGAGGGCAGTGTGGAGTGGCTTTTCAATACGTTGAATAGTACTGAGTGGCGCGCCTTCCAGCAGGTTTGCACCAAAGGTCACCATCGGGCTCATCGCGGTAAGCATCATCCGGAGAAGGTCGTCTGTTCTAGCACCATTCCAGTGAGTAGCAAAACACTTGAAGTTGCCAGAACGAGTCAGTTTAGTGCGCAAATAAGTTTCATGAGCTCGCCAAGTGAAAGTCTGTGTGAAAAAGATGCCCAAAATCTGTATGGACCTGCGCTGGGGGATGGGGCCAGAATCAATGGTCAAGGAGAGTGGGGGGCGGTTCATTTTTGGCGAAAAGTCTATAGCAGCGCTTTTGTCAACAGTGAAAGACAGGCTCCAAGTCGTAGCCCAGTGTTCAAGATGGTTCAATGCTGTCTGTGCACGATGAGTGGCTAGACTGGGGCTGGTGCTGCTGGATACCAGATAGTGGTCATCAGCGTAAAGAATCTCCGTTACGTTTGTGGGCAGTACCGACCACAGATCGGCCATGTATAGTGTAAAAAGAAACGGAGCCAGCACACTTCCCTGCGGGACACCGTGTGGGTAGGCCTGGGGGTAGGAGAGTGCTTTCTACCAGTGAACCCGGAATGTGCGATCACGAAGAAAAGAGGTTAATCAACTGAGCAACCTCCCTCTGATGCCATAGTGCTCCAGTTTGGCCAAGAGGCCCTCCTGGCAGACGGAGTCGTATGTCCCGCCAGATCCAATGCCACCAAGTAGACCCAGTGGTGTCTCGCTCTTGCCACTGCTATGTGATGGTGTAAAACTACCAGCGCTTCCTCTACCCCCCTGTAGGGAAGGAACCCAAAATGATGCCTGTGGAAAATGTCAGTCCGGACAGCCATGTTCTGAATTCGATCTAGAAGCATCCTTTCAAACACCTTAGCTATGTGAGATGTGAGTGAGATAGAGCGATAAGCTGTGCAGTCCGTCGCCTCTCGGCCTGGTTTAAGGAATTGGATTATCGTGGCAGTTTTCCACTCTGAAGGGCAAGACCCCTTGATCCAAATATCGTTCAATCTATCCAGTAGGACAGTTCTTCCCCCCGGGGAGAGCGACCTTAAGGCTCGCGCACACATCCCGTCAGGGCCTGGAGTCTTTAGTCGGGTCCGATGGAGGGCCCTTTGTAGTTCTACTATGTGAAATGGGCTGTCGTCTTGGAGTAGTGGACCCTGTCGGGGAGGCCCGAGAGGGGCGAAAGTGCCTGTCTGACAAGCCCTACCAAAGTGATTAGCGAGGGCGTTGGCCTGGAGTGTGGGGTGAATAAGGTGTCTGCTATCTGTATGATGTTGATGGCAGTCGAGATTGGAGGGGGATTCCGTAGTCGTCGAAAAATTTGATAGAGGGTTGCCTTGGAGGGTGGGTTGGTACACAGGCGCTCCCACCACTCCCGTCGGGATTGGCGAGTCTTTTGGCGAAGCAGGGCCCCGTAACACTTATATTGGTTCCACCAGCCAATAGAGGCCAGTTTACGGGCTAACCGAAAGGCTCGGCGTTTCCTTGTTCTAAGCCAGCTACATTCTGGGGTCCACCATGAAAGTTGTCCCGATTGTGTGTAGGACCTGGCAACGGTATTCAACTCCACTGCTTTCTTGAGGTCAACGATGAGAGCCTCGTAATTTTTTGGTGGTCCACCTTCTGATAACCAACGCAGGTCTAGGTCACCGGAATATTGGTTTCAGTTTATGGAATACCTCAGGAGCCCCGAAGCCCACCCCTCTGATCACCCGTCTGTGTGAGCGAGCGTTACAGCAATAGGGGCGCGGTCACTTGTATTAGAAAGTGTATCGGAAAGAGGTTGCCAATCAACTGAACCCAGCAGATCCAGGGCCCTGAAAGTCAAGTCAATAGCCGACTCTCCTGTAGGCCGAAAATGCTACATACAATCGAAGGGTATTCTTCCTGTAGTGTCCGGTGGACACAATTTTTGTCCCAGTGCGGATGATGGGCCTTCCAGTCCCCGCTGAGGCAAAGGCGGCGATCAACTGGTAGTAAGCCATCAAGCATGGTTTCCTGACGGATACCATGGGGGCATATACATTCACAAAGGTGAAAGGGAGCTCTGTAAAATACACCTGGGTCACTTGGACCTCCAGGTTGGAGACATTCGAATTGCTTTGAATATGGCGTGCTGGCCACCTTCAGGCAATAGCCGTCAAGAGACCCCCATCCTGACCGGAGGGGCGGTCATCGCGGAACAGGGAGAAACCAGGTAGGGTAAATGTCGTGCCCGGGGTCAGCCACGTCTCCTGTATGAGGACATCTATCTCCCGGAACCAGGGCGTGATAATGAGGATGTCCCGTTTGGAATGTAGGCCTCTTGCGTTCCATTGAATAATTCGAATGGTTGTCTGACTACTTGTAGCATTAGACATGGGGAGGGTGGTTTTTTGGCTGACGCTTACGAATTTTTACCTGCTCGGCCGGGGTTGTAAAACTTAGATCTTCTAGAGAAATCGCCCTGGATGCGTTTGTGATTTGGAACAGATCTGTGTCGAATGGTGGGTCTTCAGTGTCAGATATGTCCTGTGCGGCTGCATGTCGGAGTTTTGTGCCTTCTTTCTTTTTGGCTTGTTGTTCCGCGGCTGTTGGTTCCGCATAGTTAGATGCCCGCTTACTGGGCGTGGACACTGTTGGCATGATGTCCATATTCTGTTCGCATTCTAGGGTTTGGGTTACCTGATCTGGGACTGTCTGGCGGGACTGTAGCTTTTTGTTGAGACTGCGGATCTCCACCCGTAATGCCTCTACTGTAGATTCTAAAAGAGCGATTCTGCTTGTCAATGACGAGACGTCGTCTGTCAAAGCTGGGGGACCCCGGACAAGCTTCTCCCCTCCCCGAGTGGGACGTCGGTAGGCTTCCTCGGGTTTCGTCGGCTTATGTGTACTTGTCACCGTGGCATAGGTCACTTTCTTACATTTGGACAATCTCTTTGCTTCTTGGTATGAACACTTGTGTGTAACACAAAGTCGAGCCTCGCGCTGGTATGCCTCACATTGAGGGGAGTCCGCCTTGTGTTCTCCTCCGCAACATATACAGTCCTTCCGCTCAGCATTAGATTCATTGGGTTCATGATCCGCTCCGCATCTGATGCATCTACGTCGGCCTCTGCACGAAGCGGCTAAGTAGCCGAAAAAAAAACACCGGTCACAGAGACGCGGACGGGGAATGTACTTTTCACATCTATAGCGCTGATAGTATAAGGTAATTGTCTTCATTTTTGTAGCACTTGCTACCGACAAGTAAACTATAGGGTTTGGAACTACTGAGTCCTCCTCTCTCCGCGTGAAGCGGTGTATTTCTATGACTGGAATGTTTTTGGCCGCAAGTATGTTGTATATCTCTGTTACAGCTATTGACGTATCGACACCTTGCACAAGATACGCAGTTAGCGCGCAGTCGGACGCCAAGCGGCTCCTCACTTGGGTCCCAGCCAAGTCTGTGATATGGAGGGCCTCCTCCGCAGTTTGGGGGTCGCAGGATTTAAGTATAAGAGCGCCTGCCCAGGAATATCTAACGTCTTGTATGCTTTCCGGCTGGGCTCACCAGTGACCGAGTGGTCATTGTACCCTGAACACTGGGAGTTCGGTCGTAGGTTCGCGTATCGCTCTGATGGGCTGGCCACGTGGAGTCTTTCGGGTTTTCTCCACGTCTATAACGCCTAAATAGGGTCAGTTTCCCTTAAAAAGACCTCCCGGAAAACATCCCCTAGCCAGATCGGTAAATTGCACGTATCAGGATCGAGTTCGAACCCAGATTTCTTACTGATGAGTAAGAGAGATTTAGTATCATGTCACACGGTCATCCTTTGGAATTATGTGTTTATCTTAATGATTAGACAGCACAGTACTTAAATAAACTGAAAGATTTTAAAACTCTACGTCCTGTAGGCACTAAGCGGGCCTCATTTTAGTAAGCCCACCATGGGTTTGACCAAGTCCACAAGACCCACCAGTGGCCAAGTGGTTTCGTTCCCTGAACACTAGGAGTTTGCTCGTGGGTTGGGGCCTGGCTGGCCACGTGGAGTTTTCCGGGTTTTCTCCAAGTCTGTAACGCCCAAATAAGGTCCAGTTACCCTTAACAAGACCTCCCAGAAGACATCCCCTAGGCGGATCGCTTAAGTGTTGCGTTGCCATAACTTAAACAAACAAACCAAGTCCACAATGGGACATTGCGGCCGGATGGGGCAATTTTAGGACAGACCACTCCCGAAAACTTCTTGGATATTTTCGACCTATTCGGTTTTGTCTCCGGGTCCCCGGAAATGTAAGTTACCGCCTTAACCACTCGGCCATCCGCCCGTTAAACTGAATGATTAAATATTCATAAAATGATATTGGTGTTACGTAAATGCAAATAATCCAGTAAATAATTAAGAAAATATTTATTGTTTTTGTATTTGGCCGAATTTTGTATGTATTATTTTATAAAAAAAACGATTTACATATAAATTAAATTAGAAAACTTTTCCTATTATTCTAATTATATTCCACCTTTTTCTCGATAACCTTAAAATTAATACATTTTACACATTTATTTAAAATAAAAAATAAAATATATGTTAAAAATTAAAAAAAATTTTTTATAAACTTTATTTTCTCGTAGCGAAAATCGTCTTGTTTACGTAAAGCGATTCAAAATGGCGGACGAAGATCAGAGTCTTAGGGAGTGCGAGGCTTACGTGAGAGTGCATAATATCCAGCAAATATTAAAGGATTGTATCGTTCAGCTTTGTGTCAGTCGCCCGGAAAACCCAATATCTTTTCTGAGAGAATATTTCCAAAAGTTAGAACGCGTAAGTTTATTTCTAATTTTTTTTTTTAAATTAAAAAGTAGAATTAATTTACTTTTGCCATTATCATAATGATTTAGAAAATTTGTAATCGAAATTGAAATTGAAATTACACGTAAAATAATAATAATGTCGAGTATCATTTGTGTCATCACCCTTTGCCGCGGGGTAATGTTTCAATTTGGGACAAATCGCGTAATATTTATGAATTACCTTTAAATTAATACTCACGGCACAATGTTTTTACAGTTTGTTAAGATTCTTATATACAGTTTTATTATACTGTATATATATATACAGTAAAACACGTGTAAACCGGAATCTCAAGATATCGAATATTTTGTCCGGTTTCGCAGGTTTCCGTTATAGACAGGTTTTACTGTTTACTTCGTGTTTTATTTATATACAAATAGAGAAGATCATGTATAAAATTATGTTTTAGAACATTTATATAATTTTTTACATGTATATTTTTTCTATTAGATAAATCTGTAGTTGATATACAGTATATATACACACACACACACTCTCTCTCTCTTTTCATGTGCCATATCAGGTCACTCTGATGTCAGCAAACATCCAGTGCAGGTTATTATGGATTAGTTTGCACATCAAGTGATATCAAAGTTAGTATTGGAGTGGTTTCCCATTTCCTTCTCTGGATATATGATGTTACACAGGAGAAATGCCTTCCGGGAGGTCTTTTTAAGGATAACTGGCCCCTATTTAGACTTTACAGACATGGAGAAAATCCAGAAAACTCCACATGGCCAGCCCGTCAGGGCAAACCCACCTGGTGTTTGAGGATGGAGCCACTGATGGATCATATGTATATATTACATAACATTTTTATTGTTATTTAGAAGTTTATTTTCTATTCCTTCAAGATTTTTCATATCTGTATTACAAACTAATTGAACAGTAATCGAATTCAATATCGTTTTATATTAAAAATTTTTTGAATTGCCTAGCTTTGGAGAACTGCATTCTTACTGATTTGCAAAATTAACTAACGGTATTAATTTATTAAAAATACCATATTTTTTTCATACTAAGGTGAAATTTTTTAATCAATTTTTACTTATCTGAAATAGAAGTGCATTTTAGAATTGACATTGTCTTACTTGCAGTCAAAAACAGCTATCATTTTTGAGTGGACCTCATGATCTATTTGTGCACTAGTTATAGCTGTTGAGTAGCATAGCCACATTTTTGGGTATGCTACTCGACAGCTATACCAATTCAAATGTGCTTAGCTGGTAATGAGCATTTAATTTAATCTACTTTTTAATGTTTGAAATACCTTCAAGACAACATTATGATGCAGCATTAAATAAAATTATTGTATATACAAAGGAATTGCCAAGTTTTTTATTTCTTTTATAGCATTGTTTTTTTTTGGCCAAAAACAAAAAGAGAAAACTTGAATTGCTTGTTTCAACAAGCAGTTTTATTTGTTTTTTTTATAATAATCAACAACACAAAAACTGGAGAATCATGTAAATAATTAAAAACAATCTTACTGAGTTCCAATATTAATTTAATGAACAAAAGCATTTTAATCCAGATTGAAGGACTGCATCAGTTGCTCAAAAAGAACATAAAGAATGACTGTATTAGAATACATACAAGATTTTATGTAAAACAACATGTAAAGGTCAAGTGCACAACTGCAACTCGTTATAACAGCATTGGAGGATAAAGTAAAAATAAAAAAAATACATAAAAAATATAAAAAAACGTAGTGGTTGCTATTTAAAATGTTACACTTCATATAACAATTTCCAGGCCATGTATAGTATGCATCATGGAAATTAATGCAGCCTTGTTCCAAATTTGGTTTGTATATTTATAAGACCTCTAGGTATTTGTTACAAATGTCCATCACAGATTGTACAATCATAGTATTATCATAAAGTACTTCAACATTGGATTCTGTTGCATATGCAAGCAGTATTAAACTCTTGCTTACAGTCTATTTGTGCTCCTTAATTCGACCATTGAGATCCTCATAGTAGTTCTGATCTATTTCATTACCATGATGTAGGGTTTCATTTTGGAACCTTCAGGAATTGAGAATGGAAAATTGTATTTTCCGAGAATTCCCAAAGTGACCTTTTATATTTAATTTTTGTTAATGATCTGTAATAATGGCTAAGCTTATTTTTTATTTTATTTTCAGGTATTGCCTTGAATATAATTTGCTATATTTTCATTCTTTTCATTAAGTAAACGCCAATTGAGTATTTTTCGAAATAGCTTAATTGTCTAAGTAATAACTTGATATTAATTCTTTTTAAATGAATGGATGAAATTATATAAGATAATGTTAGAATTTTATTCATGAATTACAAAAAACTTTGATTTGAAAAAAAGTTCAGCTAATTCAAATCCAAATAATTTGAAGTTGTGTTTTCTTGGTCCCTAGAGTTTCAGAATAACAAGATTTTACTGTATATCACAGTCTTCAGCCACAAACAAACTGATGGTTGGTAGTATTGGCTATCACTTTGTGGAAACAATTCATCATGGAGAACAGAAACAATCTGTGTTTACACAGAGAAATATTATTTTGACTACAATGTCATATTAAGGTAAGCTATCTTTAGATTTCTTTAGTTAATTTACCTGATGATGACTTTGTAATCAAATCCTGGGTTGTGAAAATAAATATTTTTCTGTGTAAATAAAAACTGTTTTCAGTTCTCTATGATCAAATGTACTTGATTTACAAGAGCTAAAATTAGCTGGTCATGTGTTATCTGATTCTGGTGTCATGCATGCATTTCTGGTGACATGTAATATTGTAACAAAAATGTAAGTTTACATAGCAATAAATAGAAAAAATGTCTAAAAGATATATTGTGAGCAGTATGTTTATTTCCCATTATGGGTATTACTGGGTTCTAGGAACCAATTTTTCTATTTTCTCGACCAAGTTTTTTTTGGATTCAGGAATGGGAAAATGAAAAAATTTCCGAGAATGGGCGGGAAGGAATTCCTGCCTGGAAACCTTACCATGCTGCAATGGTTGTCATGTATCAGTAGGAAATAAAGGCCAAATATACTGGAAAGATCATATAGTTGGATTTTTGTATTATCATTTTATAATATTTTGAAAACTGTTGGATTACACTTATATGTGAGGTTGAAGTTGTTGCTCCTCACAATCTCTTTACGAATCATGTGGAAAGCACAGGAAGTATTTCAACACAATTCACGATGTTCCTTTCTAGCTTATGTGGCATATTATTACATTTACCTTCAAAAGATTTAGAGTATTTATTAACTTAACAGAAACATTGGTCTGTGAGGCCATTACTGTTTCATTATGCTACAATTTTTACAAAACTAGCAACTTTTCAAGTTTTATGTTGCACCTTCATAGTATCTTATTAATAGGTTTTTTCTTAATTTTAGAATGATTTGTTATGGATATTCCATCAACAAGTACAGTACTTGTAAATCATCAAGAGCTTAACATTATCTGAGCTATTGTCAAAATCTAGTCATCAAAGAATTCCATTTTGTTAAATGTTGGTTCACTCTCTATTGGACCCACATATTAAAAGATAGCTCAATCTGCCCAGAGATATTAGAACATTGTGTGGGAAACAATACTGGAATATTAAAATACTGCTGTGAGAGGAGGTAAAGTTTCAAGTGACAAGCTTGGGAAGAAGAAGACATGTTCTAAGTATCTATTTTCCAAGGGCAGAAAAACTTCCTACAAGTGTATCAAATGTAACAATTCAATTTGTTTGCGTGCTACAGAAAAGTTTGCATTACATGTGCAGTAACAAATGACTAAAAGTTAAAATTTATTCAAAAATTTTCATAATTTTGCTACTATGTAATTAGTTTTCAATAAATTTGAGTTTGCTAATCATAATTTTGCTTTTTTATGGTCCAAAAATCACTTGTATAATAATAAATATGTAAAACGTGAAGTGTAAAAATATACAAGGTCTCTCAGACTGACATTTTCAATTATGTAGTAAAGACCTATGTTTCTGTTTCCAGGTTAATACAATATCCATATTGGTGTGCCACATTTTTGATGTACCATAATCCAGCTCTCTTGAATATCCAGCTTTAGATTTTTATGAACCTCCAGTTATTTTTGAATTTCATGATTAAAATAATTAAAAATAGATACCAAAAAATGTAATGGATTGTTTACATAAGAATATACAGGCATACCTCGACTTACGTCGTTTCGAGTTACATCGTTCCCGATTATACGTCGTTTGTCAAAAAAGTATATGGAAAAATAAAAATCAAGTTTAAGTTATTTTATTCGACTTTACGTCTGTCCGCCACAAATATTGAAGTCGTAATATCACTAGAAAAACGTTTAAAGCACATAAAATCATATTAAGATATATATAAGTATGTACTGTATTTACAGTACAGTACTGTACATGCATTCGTAAATTTAGATTACTTTTTTTTGGTATTATATTAAAGACTAAAATTTATTTGTTTGTAAGCTTAAAATAGATTTTTATTAACCATATATTATTAAAAATGCATTAATAAATAAAATACAGAACCGGGAATGGAAATTTACAGTTTAGCCTAGTGATAAGTAGATTCGGAGACAAGTAAATTCGACTTACGTCGTTTTTCGACTTACGTCGTTCTCCTGGAACCAATTACCGACGTAAGGCGAGGTATACCTGTAGTTGAATCTTTTTCAAGGATTTAGCTGTATCACTTGCTATATTATATGCCAAAGAGTGAATTTTTTATTAGATTTTAAATGTTAGACTACAGATGATGTGTTTAATGTTAAACTATAGAGTTTCCAAAATTTCTATTAATAATAAAAATTCAAATTTATAAAATCTTTGAACAAAATACATTGAGTCAGTAATATTAGTGTTTTTTTTTTCTATAAGTAATTTTAATATAATATACGAGGGACACTCCAAATGTAATGTACTATTGCAAATAGGAAAATGAAATTAATGTATGTTACATTTATATTTATTAATATACATTTATTAATTTTCCACAAAATTCATGTTGAGTTATATATCCAACAAAGTGCTCTACTCTTTTTGTATAAAAATCATCAGTCTGACTGAGCTACATCTTGACAGCATCAATGTCAACATCTGTGTTGGAGAATCACTTCCCTTGAAATTCAGCCACTAAGTTCAGCCGCTATTGAATTGAATTAATGAATCTCAGACAAATTGTTAAATTAGGGCTATATGAATGATGAGATAAGACTGTCCAACTAAATTTCGTCATGTATTCACTTGTCAAGAGGGCTATGTGGATTTTGCATTGTCATGCTGAAATAGAGCACGGTCCTTTTTCTCTGCCTGAACATGTACAATTTTGGCATAAGCTTCTTCAACATATCCACATAACTACATTCATCATACAGTTTTATTTTTATTAAAAACACTGGGTATGATTTTTCCAGTTGATTTTTGTTTTGCATTTATTCTTCCTGGGGGAACCATTTCATTGATTGCCATTTGGATTCTGATTTTTGGTGGTAAACCAGATCGCATCTCTGAGATCTTTTTCAAGAATACCATCGAGAAATCCATCATTCAAGAACTGTTGTAGCACTTAAAAAATATGTATGGAACCCATCTGGACACACATTGGATAGATTCCCACATGTACTGCTGTTGACACATTTTTCTGTACACTCATCTTAGTGTTTTCTAATAAATATGCATGTCTTGGTAATTACAACTGTCAAATTGGTTTCTTGGTTTCATTTGATCACACCTACCTAATATATATATGGGTATAAAGCACATTTATACATATATACTATATATAGAAAACATAATTTCAATTAATACATGTTAATTAACAATTATAAATATAAAAATTATATATTATTTTATTTAAAAGTTTCAACTGTTAAAACTTTTTAGGAATCATCTTTAAGAATTAAACAACAACTTTCATCAACATCATCAAATGATGAAAAAGATGATGAGATTGGAGCTATGCCAAATCTTGTACCTTCACAAAGAGTTCGAAGAGGAGCTGTTAGTGCAGAGACTTATAATGAAGAAGATGCTGCTACTTATGTGAAAAAGGTAAAGATGAGATGATTATTATTATTATTTTCTTTTGCTAAACTAATTTTATATTATAGAAATGAAAAACTGAAATAAATTTTATAGTAATTTATTATTTTATGACTTAAGATTAATATATTACGATTAAATTATAAAAAATTCTTAACAATTTTTAAAATATTAAGAACATTGAAATATTAAATGTATTTAAAATAAGTGAATGAATTTTGTTTTTGTTTCATAGATTGTTCCTAAGGATTATAAAACAATGGCAGCTTTATCAAAAGCAATTGAAAGAAATGTGCTATTTTCTCATTTAGATGACAATGAAAGAAGGTAATAATTATTAATACAGTATATTAGTGAGTTAGTTATATATCATAAAATCAGTTTTTTATTTATTGTATGAAAATTTTATAGTTGAGATAATATTGTATATATTTCCATTAATAATAATTAATCTAAAGTATGTTTTCTTCAATGATATATAACCATATTTATTATTCAGAAAACATAAAAAATGTTAATTTTTTTGAAGTAAATTTGATTCAATGAATAAAGATATATTATAAAATTTATATCATTATTGATTTTAATTTAGTAAAACATTAATTTATACAGCAAAATTCATAAAATGTATTATATTAGGAATTTATTCATATATTATAATTGATTTTTGAAATTAAAAATAATTAAATATGTATTAATTGTAATTTTAATATAAATATTTTTTATATACCACAATTTGTAGAGATTTATCTCATAACAAGAATTTAATATTCCTGCTATATTAATTTTGTTTAACAATTTTTTTCACATTTTATTTATTTACAGCTATAGATAATTGTAGTGGAATAGTTTTTCAAGACTCATTTTTTAATTGTTTTAACAAGTTAAAAATGTTTCTTAATATGTTTAAATTTCTTTTATAATAATTATCTATACTGATATGAGTTTGAAAAACATTTTATAAAAGTAAACAAATAATTTTTTTCTTTTGACTTAATAATATTTTACTAATTTTAGTTTATTATTATTATCTGAAAGAATTATATATTTACTCAAAATTAAAAATTTTTTTAGTACAATTTTAATTCAGTACTTGAGGCATGTGGAGATTTCTTTGATAAGCATTAACTTGTGTACTAATGTTGACGTATTCTTCTGTACACTTATCCTAATGTCTCATAATAAAAGTGAATATTGAAAACAATATTTTTGTTATTTTATAGAATTGTAATTGAAATTTTAGAGTATTACAGTATAAGTAAAAAAATATTTATGCAAATAAAAACAGTAATTTTTCATCTAAAATAAATTTATATAGACATTTTTAGTTTGAACTATAAAATACAGAAGATTATGCTTAGTATAATTTTATAAGTAATATGTTTTTTATCTAATTTGAAAAGAAAAAAGGCTATGAAAAAAGTACTGTAATGATCTTTTATTATTTAAAATGATTTTGCTTATAGAAAAAAATGATATTTGAGGAAATGTCAAAAATGTCAATCATTTTAAATAATTAAAGAATATTATGAAAATGCTCATCTTGTATCTTATTCATAGAAAATTTTAAATTCTTGAATTTCTCAAAGTATTTTTTGTTAAATAATTTTGTAATTTTGTTTTGTTATTTATATGTAGTCAAACCTCTCTAATCCATCACTTATAGGACCAAAGAATTGTGTTGGATTATTAAGATTGTCATATTACTGAAACATCACTCTAAAAATGCTTAAATGATGTTATAAAAAATCAAAATCTTACATTATTTTTGTGACATTTTGTCAACAATTTGTTTTTTGTTATCTGTTTTTTAAGATAACACTTGATTTAACAAAGGTAGTTGTTTTATTGAGAAAAAAACTGTGTTTATTAGTTTTAATGCTCTAATAACTGTAAGTAATTATTTCATCTTTTTTTTTCTCTTCCACTTCTGTCTCATTGTAGTCATTTATTACCTCTGGAAAATATTGTCATAATTAATTATTTTACCAATTTAGAACAATTTTCTGTTACAGTTGTTTCTGCAACCACTTTAACATTTCTATTTATTCCAGTGGAATGACTTGTAAATCCATAAATCCTTATTTCATCTTTGTTGGACCACTTTATTCATTGGATGACAAGATATTTTTTTTTTTTAAGAATTTTTTTCCTGACATTTTTTAAATTGCAAAATGACACTATTTTTCTCTTGTGCAAATTTTGATAATTAGTGAACATTTTTTCAAGGAAGTTTTCTATTAAGTTATTGACTTTTGTTATAGAACCTGTATTAATGAAAATGTAATAGGGAAAAGAGACACATGGAAACCAGTATAACAATAGCTACAGACTGTGACTACCTATATCGATTAGAATATTTGTCCAGGAAACACTGTCTAAAAGTAATCAAGCTTTTTTTTATCAACTGATGACTATTTTAATTTCATTAATATTTCATATATGTGTGATTAGAAAGATCTGCTGAAGTAATTAGATTGTGTAATTTGCAATATTTTAGGTTAAATTCACATTTCAGAATTTTTTTTTGCTACTGTTGTTAATAATTAAGCATTGGTATTTCATTAAATAAGAGAGATACAGTGACAGTATTTTAAGTCAGTTAATTGTTAATTAAATAAGTTTTAATTCAAATAATTTCAAATATAAAGAAATTAAATTAGCTTAAACATTTTTGTCTAAGATATTTCTTAGATGAAATGATTTTATGTTTCTTATTTTTCTTATATTCAATTTATCATCATGATGACATTGCTTCATCCAAACTTTCCAGTACAGTAGAACCCCTCTAATCCGTCACCTTTGGGACTGGTCGGAACACAAAAAAGGTCGGATTATCAGAAAAAAGTAAAATAAACAATCTTCCCCTTTGTCCAGTCTTTTTAGCACTGCTAATTTTTCATTTAATGAAAGAGTAACGTGTTTACGTTTCACTCCTGACATGTTGAAAACACACACAAAACTGTACATGTACACACAATGTAAAACATATACTGTAACGAACACAGAAAAACACCACGGATGGTGAGTCACCGACGAGTCAGGACAAGTTTCTCAACTCCGACCACGGTCGGATTAACCGGAGTGACGGAATAGCCGAGGGCGGACTAGAGGGGTTCTACTGTAGTTGTAGTCTGTGCACTTTATTCACATGTTGATTCATACTGTCAAATCTGCTTCCAGTATGCTTATGCCACAATTTTCAAAAGTTTCCTTCATTTAGATATTTTTGCTGAGTTCTACTTTTTCAACTTGGTTTTACTAGTTTTTTTTTTTTTTTTGATGGGATATATAACCTATATTTGCTAATGTTAGGGGGGGAAAATGTCTGGTCTGTGCTACATCTTGGCTACCTTTATCCTCAAGATTGCCTCAGATACTTGTTTGAAAAGTGATGGGATGTCCTCGAATTGTGCAAATGAGATGAAGGAAAATTTATATTTGCTGAAATGTGAATTTAACCTGCATGACATCCAAAGTTGTGTTGTCTTACCTGTAATTAACTCCATATTGCTAATAGCTTAACATTGTTTTGCCTATAGACACTTGAAAGCTTATTTTAATCTTTTAATTATTAACTTTGCTAAAATATTCTTAAATTATATCATATTTTTTAAAAGTTTTTTAAAACAACAAAAAATTATGAGGAAAATTTAAAATAAAATCTCTCTTATTTTCAGAAGAAAAACAAAAATATTTAAATATGCTGTTAAAACATTAGTTGTTTTAATGAAATACATTACAAATAATTAAAAATGTACTTAAAATTAATTTAAAGTCAATAAATAATAATGTTTAAAACAAATCATAAACTTACCAGTCTAAAAGCATAAGTAACTTGATATATATCTTTGTTCAGATTTTCAGATAAGTTTGTGAAGAAAAACAATTCCTTTCTTCACTTACAAATTAACTAATTGTGTATACAAATAATATTTCAGTATTCTACATTTTTATCAATATCTACAAATCAATTATAAACAATATCATAAAGGAATACTTATAAAAATGCATTGAAATGTATATGAATTTATTATACAATCCAATAATGTAGCAAATCATTAATGTATTTAATAATCTGTGAAATTTGAGTACTTGATATCTTTTATATCTGAATATTTAATCTTGCATACAGAAAATTTCTAGTTTTTATAAGTATGTTATAACAGTTTGAGAATTAGACAGATTTTTGTATTATAAATTCTTGACTTTTTAGTTTGATATGAAACATTGAAACATTTAAATAGATCTTATTTTTATAACTGAATTAATCTGATTTTTTTGCTGTTTGCATGTGTATGTTTTTGTATATATATTTCAATTTGCATTTACATTAGATGCTTTATTTAGTTTATTTTATATATTTATCAGAGTAGCAAATGCTAATTTATAAGTTGTAAACTTTTATCTTATAAGGCTACAATTTGAAAAAATTGTAAACCTATAAATTCCCACTGTCATCCATCCTTCTTTCCTTAATCTTGAGAATGGACTTAGACAAAAGGCGAGATCATATATGGAAACCTTAGGGGCAGGAGGCACTGATTTTACTATATAAGAACTTCTGATGCAAACTTGAAATAATGCTATTTCAGTTCAAAAAATTTTTCTCCATAAGGTGTTAGATAAATGACTGACACAACACTATTGTTAAAGAAAAGTATGGTGTATAGGGGCAAGTCACTACTAAATTGAGATGGAAAGAATATATTTTAAATTAAATAAATTAAAAATATGATTAAAAATTGCAGCCTGGCATTGTGACGATGTCACAATAAATAATTTCTCATGTAAGGTTAGAAACATTTTTATAATATTTAAGATAAGTAAATGATCTATGATGATGAACTGGAAGTATTTAGAATACAGTTGACCCCCCTATAACACGGTAGATATGTTCCGGTTTTTATGAATCCATTTTCTACAAGTCCAGCCAATCACAGCCCGGCACGTATGCAGTTTATGGACTACGGCTGTTTGAAAGGTTTCTTCCATAAAATTAATCGATTCTAGACTAATTAGACTCAACATTTCCTTTGGAAATGTTGAGTCTAATTAATCGATTCTAGACTAGTAAAATTAATTGATTCTAGACTAATTAGACTCAACATTTCCTTTGGAAATGTTGAGTCTAAAATACATATAATTTTTTGGGAATAATCCGTATAAACTATGCTATAAACAAAAAATTGTAGGATTACTTACCGAGTGTGCACTGTTTGACTACGCCATTCCTTAAGCTTGTTTTCATCATGGAGCTTGTCATTGAATGGCACTCGTGTGCTTCCTGATAAATTATTTATTTTTGCGAAACATTCGCTGAACTTCGGAGACATCATTAATCTAAATATAATTTTTATGGACGTTAAATAATAAATGGTTTTTAGTAGGTCCGCTGCTTGTTTAAACTCAGCGGCTTGTGCAATATCTGCTGTTGGTCTAGATTCTACCAATCCTGTCGTGACACGAGTCGGTGATGACGTTTTAATCGAATTATAGGAGTTTTTTTAGCATGTTTGTATGAATACTGTCACAATTTTTTCACTGTGATATAGGAATTTGAACTATAGGAACCTGTGTTATAGGGGGGGTCAACTGTATTATGCTTATAATAAACATATTTGATGTCATCTATTTATAATTTATTTTGCATACTAGTACTTTCTATGTATTAACAGGACTTATTATACTGGGAAATTATAGATGCAGATATTTAGTCTTACAGTTCAAAAATAATGTTCTTTGTTTAGTTCACCTGTTAGTTCACATAAATTATAAATAGATAAAAAAAAGGACAAAAAGGCATAATAATTAAATATTTGATGTCAGCTGCATTTTTTTTAATGTGTTAAATGTTTATATTATTCACACTATTTAAATAACTAATATAACTTTATCATTAATCTCCAATGTATTATTGAAATTGGGATAATTATACAAACTTAACATATGATTTTAATAACAGACATTTATTGTTTGTTTTAGTGATATATTTGATGCCATGTTTCCAGTATTCCATAATGTGGGTGAAATTATAATACATCAAGGTGATCAGGGTGATAATTTTTACGTTATTGATCAAGGAGAAGTAGAGGTAATCTTTTTCTTTAAAATACTAAAATATAAAAAATTAAAATTTTATTAGGTTTAATTTTTAATCAAATTTTATAAACCAGTCATTCAACTAATATTTTAGAAGTCAAATAAAGTCATAAATGTTTTTTGGAGGTTGTCTTTAATATCATATATTTTTTTTTACATTGTACTTATAGATAGAATGGAGTAGATAGGAGAGAGTGAGATTAACTTACATTTAAAATTCAAATTTTGAGTATAATTAAAACTGCAAAAAAAATTTAAATAGTTAGTATTAGTTATGATAAATATAAACACTTTTTTTCCAGTTTCATTTTCTGTAATTCATTTAAGATGAGATATTTTCTCAAATATAATTTGATCTCAATATTCTGCACAACGTTGGATTTTAAAATTGTGAAGAACTAAATGTAAGAAATTTATAACTCTATGAACACAGCATTTATTCAGGCTAATTCACTGTATGAGACAAATGTGATAAGCACACTTGTCTCATACAGTATATGCTATGCTTCACAAACTAATGTATGCAAAACTTATTGGGCTATCTGGAGGCAAAGAAATGATATAAAATAAGATTTTATTACATATTAAAATTCCTTTCATTACTTAAATGAAAGGGATTTTATAAAACATATTTTCAAGAAACTGGAAAATTGAATTGAATTGCACATACAAATATTAACCAAAAAATTATTAGCTAAACTAAAGAAATTTGTAAAGACTTTTTAAAAATATATTTTAACAGATTAAAAAATTTACTATATAAATAAAAAAATAGCAAAATACTGTAAATGTGTTTTCTTTGACTGAACCCAGACGCATTGAATATGCAGTGTTCCACAGCCTTTTTCTACTTGCGGCACACCCATGACTCAACATTACCAACACAGCACACTAAAATGTTATTTCCCTCAAAAAAACGTATGATATGATCTATTAATAGAATGAATTACATAATGCCATTAACCTATTATTACTTTTATTATTATTATTAAATGGATATCAACACCTGTGAGCAAATTTATTTTACATTTAATTTCTTAGAATACATAAAAATGCATGACTTGTAATAAAAAATAAACAAACATCATCTTATTTCATCAGTGCTGCGGCAGAGCATAAAATACAAGCATAAGAAACACAGCAACTGTGATAAAAATATATAAATAAAACTTGAAATTAATAGAATATGTAAAAGTTCACATCACACCTTTCACTTTGTGAGGGCGCACCAGTTGTGGAACACTGAAGTAGACCATATTGATGTTAAAATGGAATATTTCCAGTTATATGTTTCTTGATTCTGTTAATATAATTTATTGATGTTGCAGAAAAATTAGCTCTAATAGTTTTGAAGATATGTATACCTATTTACAACATGCTGAAAAAGAGATTAAAATATAGTGAAATTTGTGAAGACAAACAAAATAATAGTGTATTATTTCATTCACCGGTACAGTATGTATTTCTATTAATAGGACTTATTGAACTGGTATTTAAGATTACTGCAAATCAGTCACACAGATTAAAATTGTTTTATTTACATTTACCTGGATGGTAAATGTAAATAAGTCAATAAGTTCAATAAGTCCTATTAATAGAAATACACACTCTACTGGTGAATGAAATAATATTTGAATAAATTAATGTGAGTTCCCAGACGAGGTTCGAACTCGAGTAAATCGTGAAATTCTTGCGCGACACGAGATGTAAACAACGAGACTCGGAATGGTTCGAGTATGTGTCAACTATCTGATAAGGTCTTAGCGGAAGACAAACTCTAACACGAGCGCTCATAAACAGGTAGATCTTTGACTCGCGTGTCTATAAAATGTTGGCCGAAATAAACGTTTTTGAACAAAAAATAGAGGAATTTTTGATAGGTGAAAGGTGAAAATGATCGTTAAATTCTTAGACGTCAAAAATGGTAAATAACGGCCTGAGTTATGAGTGCAGGTGTTATTATTTTATAAACAGTCATCGAGCAGAGTCGACAAAGAGGTATCAGATGGACACCTCGAATCGGACCTTTCCCGCGACCCGAAAAGTTTCGTCTTGCACCTGGAGACAAAGGAGAGACCAATCGGGAAGCGAGGAATGGGACGAGGGACCAATCCGAAATGCGAACAGTGGGGGAAAAAACTATAAAAATCGGAACTTCAAGGTCGAAAGAGAGTCTCCTCCGGATTAAGCCTATAGTGGTGATTTAAATTGTGTTGTGCATCCGCCGCTCACCGAGGACACCGCAACGAAACAACGAACTTCTGCTTCGTCCGGATATCCTTCTCGTCCACCCGAACTGCAACCGAGATCATGAACTTTTGCTGTTCCCAGGAGATTTTGGAATTGTCCATTATCGATGTAAGCATGAATTCGAACAAATAAACAGGTTTTATCTTGTAAAACACTTGTACATCATTTGCCTCCTTCGCCACCGCCCACATACGTGGTTTCCCTTAGGCTCATTCTGACGTGAGATAGACTTTTTCCCCCTCAACGTCGGCAAAACCTTACATTAAGGACATTGAGGCATATTAATTTAAAATAATAGTGTCTTCTTTAAAAATTCTTATATGGTTACCAACAGAAATACTAAAGTATCTGTGTCATGATTATTGTTGCAAACTTTTTACTGCATTTTAAAATGTAAAAAGATTAATTTTCACCTAGAGAGTGATTTTCTAGCTTGTAAATATAATTAAATTGTACTGTACATATTATTTAGTAGAATTTGATTCATTTGATTCATAGATAAAATAAAATCAAATCATCTAAGCCCTGTCATTTTAGAAATAAAGAAATATAAATATAGTATATGTGATTTTTCCCCCCAATCAAACAATGGTTCAAATAGTAGACTTGATTGCAATGAGCCTAGAGGGTCACCTGGAAAGAGAGAAAAGGTGTGTAAACTTAAGTTGAAATATTTAAAATGGATGTTAATTTCAATTTTGTACATTATATATTCTTCTTACAATATCTCCAGCATCACTCAGGAGTCAGAGTTTTTTTCTTTAAAATACTAAAATNCCCTTGTAATAGAATGTTGCTGCCAGTAAATTGAGATGGCTTTAACGACGTTGTTTTAAAGATCGTCATTAGTTATATTAGTCTCAAACCTCTGCCCTGCACGCCACGTCTTTAGTTCAGGAAAGAAGTGGAAGTCTTCACCACCTTTAATTAAATACCCAGCATATAGCTCCGATTTATCGACGAGCGACTTCCACCTCTTTCCAGAACAGGAAAAGTGGTTAGAAAGGGAAAGAAAGGTTTGAGACTAATGACGATCTCGAAGAAAACTTAGTCCAACTAAAAAGTGTGCTGATCGCACACGTGTTAGTTGGACTAAGTTTTCTTGAAAAGTGAAATTGAAGTGCAAAAGCTCTAGAATAAAGATATGTAGATGTAGAATTTTATCGCTCCCCCATTTTCCTCTTATTAAATATTTGTTAAAAATTAATTTTTTTATACAAATAAATATTAATGTAAGTTAAATATAAAAATACTAACTGTAAAAGTATTTGGGTAAATGCCCAGATTCCTTTTAGAGTTCAGAGTAGGGTAATCCCCTATGAGTGCCTCTGCTCCCCTATAAAATGACAGTATTTAATTTTGCCAGAGTCGGAGTCGCCTACTAAAATTATCAGGAGTCAGAGTCTAGCATTTTTTACCGACTCTGCATCCTTGCATTTATGCATTGAAGAAATTTATATTTGTTTTTCTACATTTACTTTGGCATTTACATTGAATTTTTATTCTGAGAAAATTATACAACTAATATATATAATTATGTTAACTATAATTAACTAATATTTGTAATGATTTGTATCTTCCTTAATTTGACAAGTACATTTGTTATGATATTAAACATAATTTTGTGTGATATTTATTTCAATTACACATTTTTTATGCTATATCTTATAAAAAGATGATATGATAATATTGAAATTCATACCATATTTTAGTGGAATGATCAGCATGCTGGTCTATCCGGGGAAGATCATGAAATCAGATACAGTAATACCCAGAACTTACGTGATAGGTGGGACCGAGCGATAACCGCATAAGTCGAATTCGCGTAAGTCAGGGTATAATTTCTCAATTTGTGTAAACTCCAAGTAGGATGTATGTAAGCTAATAAATGTTCCCGTTAATCTTATCTCGTCTTTTGATTCGTTCACGGTTACAAGAATTCATCACATAGAGTCTCTCAAGTCTTCGTAGATATAACAAACACAGAAATAAATAACACAAAAAAAATTGTAGCTATGCGTCGATTCCGCTCGACGTGTCCGAACATGTAAGCTGAACAATAGTGTGGGGGGAGTGAGTAATTGAGAGTTGCGTGGCACTCAAACAAAAGACAAATCAACGAGATTTGAAAATCGCATAACTCCGGATTCGCATAAGTCGGGGTAGCGTAAGTCGAGGTATTACTGTATTTCCATATGGCGTGTCAGTTTATCCCAGGTAATGCTGGCATGCCAGTTTAAGTGAGGTTATACATCCCTCTATAGAGAGTGAATTAAAAAAACGAACTAGTTATGTCATATAAAAACAAACAGGTTTTTATTCTAAAACTGTGAAACTGTCAGCATTACATCAAAACCTTCAATTAAATGTTTGATTTCTTCATTTTGTCTTTCTAATGACTAAAATACTCATAGAATTCTGAAAGTGCTTTTTTATGTGTGTTTTATTGTAATTTGATTCAAAAACACATAAATAAACATATGGAATTTAAGAAACTCTCTGTAAACTATCTCAGCTTACATCTATTAACATCTGCTTTGTGTGAAATTTGAGAGGAAAGTGTTATTTTTAAGGTAAGGGTAGATGGTCAATGTAGCCCATACTGACTAACTACTACTGTTACTGCTGCTGTTAATAAGTCATTAATTGTTTTATTGTCTTGTAAAAAACTCTTTCTGATGTTAAGTCAGCCAAATTACAATGTTATTATTTTATTGTACTCAGAAGAATGCTTTCTTTAATGTTTAATTAACAACTAGTTTTTTTTAGATCTGATTAATTTTATATTTTAGTTGCAGTTTAACTGGCAGGCTGGTCTCCCTCGTTTTTATGAGGCATACCAGTCATTCCATTAAAATATGGTATCAATATGTAATAATAATGAAAATATATATAATCAATAGAAACATTTTCTTTTGTTTATTGAAAATAGAAAATTTTGAAAATAGTTTGTTTTTCATTGAACAGCATTGAACAAATTCTATACAATATGTAATTTAATAAACATTATATTATATACTATGCATGTGTTTACATATAGAATAATAATAATTCTATAAACTAATCAGCATCACACTGTGTGCCTAAAATGAAGGTGCATCGTGTGATGCTGATAAATTAGATAACCAAGATGCCAATTGTTTTAATTCTATTTAATTTTAATTTTATAAATATTAGAATAGAGCCATATCCCAGTACCCAAACTACCTGTATCCAAATTATTACTACAAGGAATGATGTTTACTACTATTTTGATATTATGAATTTCTTTGAAGTACTGTACATTTGTGTAAAATTTGGAACTTATGAGAGTAAAAATGGAAAATAGGTAGCAATTTCATTTCCAACATCTGCTTTTATTTGTTTCAGTGGTGTTATGTTTGTGTGATTGTTCAATTTAGTTATTTTTTCCCAAAATTAATGCAATCTTATGAGCTTATTAACAGTTCACTACCTCATTTATTATTTACTTTTAATAATATTCTACTTTTACACTATATTAATACACAATGTACAGTACATTGTATATTAATACAAAATATATTAATACACAATGTACATTAACATTTTTATTTATGTCTACAATATATTAAAGAAAATACAGTTTATATGTGATTGATTTCTAATAGATACTAAATAAATTTATTTGTTGAAACATTATTTACAAACATATTTTTTTAATGATGTCATTAAGTGTTTGTTAGTATGGTAATTGGAGTCTGTAATGTTTAATATCGTGGTAAAATTGGCTGACAGGTAAATGGCATTCAAATTTTATTCAGTATTTTTATCATTTAGGGAAGTTGGTTGGGTTACTTGGATGGGTTGGGAATGAGTAAGAATTTTCTCACAAACAGTGAAAACACTTCTTAATATGTAAATGTTTTCAAGAACAAGTTAATTTGGATAATGGCTATAGGTATAATTTATTATTGTTATCACTATTTTGAATTTAATTATTAATATTTAAAAGTTTTTTAAAACAACAAAAAATTATGAGGAAAATTTAAAATAAAATCTCTCTTATTTTCAGAAGAAAAACAAAAATATTTAAATATGCNAATACAGTTTATATGTGATTGATTTCTAATAGATACTAAATAAATTTATTTGTTGAAACATTATTTACAAACATATTTTTTTAATGATGTCATTAAGTGTTTGTTAGTATGGTAATTGGAGTCTGTAATGTTTAATATCGTGGTAAAATTGGCTGACAGGTAAATGGCATTCAAATTTTATTCAGTATTTTTATCATTTAGGGAAGTTGGTTGGGTTACTTGGATGGGTTGGGAATGAGTAAGAATTTTCTCACAAACAGTGAAAACACTTCTTAATATGTAAATGTTTTCAAGAACAAGTTAATTTGGATAATGGCTATAGGTATAATTTATTATTGTTATCACTATTTTGAATTTAATTATTAATATTTAAAAGTTTTTTAAATGTGTTTTTTCAGTTTTATGTGAATGGACAATTAGTTACAACTGCTAGAGAAGGTGGAAGTTTTGGTGAATTGGCTCTTATTTATGGCACACCTAGAGCAGCCACAGTTAAGGTATGTAATTCTGTAAACTAATTTTTAACACTAAATGCCAAGTGATAAAATTAAAAATTTTTGTATTTATAGTATATTCTACATAATACAATTTCATACAATATATATATGAGCCACTCACTTGCCAAATTGATTAACTCACAAAACAAAAATTATAAAAATTGATGATATAAACTATTTTTTAAAATTCCCTTTAAACTTTAAATTTAAACAAACATTGTAGAATGTACTTTTATATATTATTATATTAAAGCTATGCATGAGTAATCTTTTTATTCCACATGGTTTCTATAACAGCCTTTTTGTTACTTTGTGAGAATGTTATGTTATATGTGATGGTACATACTGTTTGTGATCCATGAAGTGAATATTTTGTGGACTATGAGATGGCTCATGATTGGTATTGTATTGTATAGTGTCTTTCATGTTTGTCATTTTTGGGTTTCATGTGTGTGATGACCTGAAAAAGAAATTTTGCCATATCTTATGGTTATTATTGTTGTTGTAAGTATTTTTAAAATAACAAAAAATATAAATTATTTTTTAAAATTCCTTTTAAACTTTAAATTTAAATAAACATTGTAGAATGTATTTTTACATTAAAGCTATGCTTTAATATAACAATATATAAAATTATTTATGCAAAAAATGTAAAAATAATAACGATTATATTAAGGATTTACAAATGGAGTTAATTGATTTGGCCTGTAAATGGCTTATATATTGTTGGTGTTATTTATATTAAGTTTTAATTAATTTNTTGCCATATCTTATGGTTATTATTGTTGTTGTAAGTATTTTTAAAATAACAAAAAATATAAATTATTTTTTAAAAAATATATTATCATTAAATTTGTGTAGATTTTTCTAGTAGTATGGATGCTGTATAATACAGTTGTATGTAAAATCACTTTAATCCATGGTGGTTGATTTTTCTCACAGCAACTCCAAGTTATTACTTAAGACTTTATTGTAGTATATTCTTAAATAGATTATACACAATATGCATTTCAGGCTCTCTTCAGTACTATCAAAGACAATACAGGTATACCTTGACTTACGTCATTTCGAGTTACATTGTTCCCGATTATATGTCGTTTGTCAAAAAAAGTATATGGAAAAATAAAATAAAGTTTAAGTCATTTTATTCAACTGTCTGCCACAAATATTAAAGTCGTAATATTACTAGAAAAGCATTTAAAGCACATAAAATCATATTAAAATATATACATTTACAAGTATGTACTGTATTTACAGTACATGCATTTGTAAATTTAGATTATTGTTTTCTGTACTATATTAAAAACTAAAATTTATTTGTTTGTAAGCTTAAAATAGATCCTTATTTACCATATATTATTAAAAATGCATTAATAAATAAAATACAGAACCGGGAATGGTAATTTATGGTTTAGCCTAGTGACAAGTAGATTCAGAGACAAGTAAATTTGACTTATGTCACCTCTCCTGGAACCAATTATCGATGTAAGGCGAGGTATACCTGTACAATGATTATTAGACTTGACACTATTATGATTACAAAAAATCTTTTACATTTTGATTATCTATATTTACTTACATGCCTTTAAGAGAGAAACAATTTTTAAAACTCTGGTACACATGCAATACTCTCGTATAAATACCATTATAAAACCTTTAGAAAATTTTTAATAAATGGGTAAAAAAATATTATAAACTATATCACAGTATCTTTAAACATAATAAACCTTACTTTATAATTATTACATCCAGTCTTAAATTACTGTAGTTTTAACTCTTAAAAAAAATATATTTATATATATATATTTTTTTTAGGCTATAACAGATGTCAAACTTTGGGCAATAGATAGAGATACTTACAGAAGAATACTTATGGTGAGTTAATATATAGTTAAATTTTATTTTAAAATTTTTATTAAATACTTATATAAAATTTATTTAAAAATTATTATTAAACTGATTTTTTTTAATATTTAGGGTAGCACTATAAGAAAACGGAAGATGTATGAGGAATTTCTCAGTAGAGTGTCTATTTTAGGTAAATAATTTAAAATGTTTTTTCAATGTAATTCATTTAATATCATATAATCAGGCTGTAAACTGTACAGAAATATTTATATAGTTTAATTAATAATAATTATTAACAACACTTTATACTTATTGTAGTATAGATCTACTGTTAGATATTCATACAGTTAGATATCAATCATTGATGATCATAGATTTATATTTGCATTAAATCTTAAATATGTTATTTTTTGCCAAGATAAAAAAAACAACACTATCTACTATATATATAAAACTTGGCTTAAAATCATCTTGATACTTTTCACTGTTAAAATAAAAATAGAAACAGCAACATCAGGAATCAGAGAGGTTTGGAATGTCCATTCTGGGGGAGGTAGAGTGAAGCAAGTGAAGGTTGATCAAAAGGGGTTGGTCCATCTTGAGGAATTGAATCTTCATAAAACTTTTTTTATGAATATTTTGTATTGGGAAAATGGCAAAATGACCAGGGAGTTGGCTTCTTTAGACAGTCCGGAGTTGAAGTTTCCTAGTTTATGTATTTTTTAATAAATAATTATTAAATATAATGCTTCATTGCAGTAGTAAATATGCCAAATGATCTGCCCAATTTTTTATTAGACTGTATTAAGGCTAATTAATAATCCAAAATTGGCCACCTATCTCTAGCCAAATTGTTTTGTCTTGCATTATTAAATTAGCCTTAATGTAGTTTGATAAAAAATCTGGCAGATCATTTGGCATTACTAATGTTTCATGTTATGTATGTTATTATATATAGATATTAAATAAATTTAATTAATTTCTTTATTTTGAATAGTTACAATTGTATCTTAATTTTTAAAAATTTTGTTTAATAAAAATTTGTGAATTGTTAAAATAAATGAAAACAATTAATACAAACTATATTAATATAATAAACATCAGATTTTATACAATGTGATAGAATATGTAAGCTTAAAAATTGACTCTGTTAAAAATAAATAAAATACTTTTTTACTGGAACTACAATATAAATAAAAACCAAAACCTTTAAACAATCCAGCAAATTGTTTTTCAATATCTTAAAAACGATTTGCTGGATTGTTTAAAGGTTTTGGTTTTTATTCTGTTAAAAATAAAATGAAATTAATAAATTCATTTTGCCACATCTACTATATATCAAGGCAGATAATGTGAACTAACAGTGCATGAGATTACATTACTTATTCATTGAAAAATATATTTCTATAAAGTTTATTATTACTTTAGTGTTATAATTTTGATTCTAATTGTAAAATGGAAGTTGGTCATCTTTTAAATTGATTGAAAATACAGTGGAACCCCAGTTAATGACCAAATCAGTTAACCCTTTGCTTCCACCATTTTGTTTGTCTTGTTTGTCTTGTGTTCTCTCCTAAGGCAATATAGGTCAGTTAGGCAATATTACTTTAAAAATTCACCAAAAATCAGATTATCATTATATTGATATGAAAAAAATTACCAGCATTTATTAATATCTTTTGTTTTAAATATGATATTTTTCAATACATTTTATTAGAAAAATGTATTGAAAAATATTTATAAAAAAATTGAGAAAAATTTATAAAAAAATTTCTCCGATAAAAAAAAATAAAATGTCATGTCAGAACTAAACGACATAACTTGAGTATTTATAACACATTGACTTATTATAGCTAAATAAACTTATTATAGCATAAATGAACTTATTATAGTGATATTATTTCACGAATATGCTATAAATGAAATAAAAAATTATCAGAAAATAAATAAATCAAGAAAAAAAAGCATTAATTAAAATTTTTTAAGTCAACAAAACACCACCTGGTGAAAAATATGTAGAACAGATGACAGACAAGACTTTACCATCAAGTGCTGACATCTGTTGCTGATAAATTTTATAAAAATCGATTTTTACTAGGGAAACGATGAATTGTTACTCTCGTAGGTTTGCTTAATGATGGGGGGTAACGATTGATCGGTACTTTCAGAAGCAAAGGGTTAATGAACTTTTATTTTGCAAAAATTTTATCTCGGATAACGGACAAAATTTGGATAACAAACTTAATGGTTTTTGTGTCAAATTTGTAAGCTTGCTGACTTTTAGGGGGAATCAGTTAATCGCGCATCGTGATGGTCTAGGGTCCATTCGTACATTGGTGGTGGCGGAGGAGACAAAGATGACAAGTATTTTACAGTGAAAATCGTTTATTAGAATGGGAAGATGCTTACATATTTGAGGTACTTGGAAATGGTTTATCTACAGTATATTCTCCTGGCACTGAGGAGCAGCGTATTGCTGGTCCTATGATAGTGTAAGCTGATCAGTTGTAGCCCTGGAGCAGACAAGATGGGTTCACTTGGTCACAGAAGCGATGGTAGGTGGTGGAGCGGTTCGTGAGACACAACACAAATTTTAGCAGGTACAACTTCAGGCTTAATTCAGATGAAGACAACACAGATTAATTGCCGTAGAATTTTTAGGAGAACTGCATTTTGACTGAGATTCAGGGTTTTTATAGTATTTCTTCCTTGAATCTCACTTTTTGATTGGTCCTGCATCCCATTCCTTGCTTCCCAATTGTTTTCTTCTTTGTCTCCAGGTGAAAACCGAAACCAGATCAGGACACGAGAAAGGTCCCTACTGAGGTGTTTATTTGACACCTGTTTGTCAAGTCTGATCAGAGATCATTGATAAACCTATAAGCCTTCCACTCATAATTTAGCCTGTTGTTTCTGCTATCTGTCATTTTGGAACGTTAACGATCATATGCAATGTTTTTATACCTGTCAAATCTTTTCCTTTTCTGAAAATTTAACTTAGATTGACTGTTTAAGAGCATATTTTCCTATATTTTCATCAAAGAAAATGCATTTTACAAATAAAATTACAAAAATACTGGCGGCTAGAACGGATAAATTGTATTTGCATTAATTTCTATGAGAAAAATTGCTTTGATTAACAAACGGAGTCGCAGAACGGATTAAGTTTGTTAACTGAGGTTCCGCTGTAATGGCTTTTTATGCTTAATTTTTTTAATTCTGATAGCATGTGTGGTTTTTAAATTTAAAAATTGCATTATCAAATTTTTAATATTTACACCATTATCATAGTGTAAATGTTAAAAATATGCGAAGTAATATGATAAATGTGTTAATTAGTTTGTTTCATATAAATATGATAAATCTGATTGTTGAAGATAGATAGTATTTTCCCCAAAGAGAAAAATACTTAAAATAGAATTTCAGAACAGCAGTTTAATGAAAAACGAAATAAAAATTTTATAAAATAAATTTGCATTTTTATAAATATTTTGTATTAATTGTAGTTAATGATGCGGAAAAAGTTTATTTTATAAAATTTTTTCCATCATTGTTAACAATTAATTAATACAAATTATTTATACAGTTCAAAATAAGATATTATTGTAAACATTTTTCATATTGGACGTAAAGCATTAGATGTTAAAAAAAACTGCTGTAAAGTTTTTAAAATGTTTTTAAGCTATTTTTCAAAACACAATATTTGAGATTAGAATACAATATGAAACTAAATCTTGTCACTTGTTGAAAATAAGCTAATAATTTAATAATAAAATATCTTTAATTAAAAAATTGATAACGTCAACTTTTCATATCAATAATATATCTGAAATGACAAGAAAATTTCATTATACAGTAATAATTTATAATTTTTTAGTTTCAGTTAGAATTTATAAATCCAATATGGATTATTATTTAAAAAATATGAAAATTTATTTTTATTAGGTAGTCTAGACAAATGGGAACGACTTATTATTGCTGATGCTTTAGAACAAGCATATTTTCATGATGGTGAAGTTATAGTAGAACAAGGTTGTCCAGGCAATGATTTTTTTATTATTGAAGAGGTAATGATAAACAATTTTTAGATTTTAAAATGATCAAAATACTAGATAAGCTTTAATACCAGATATAGTCAAAAAGAAATTAAATTATTTTTTAAGCACATCATTTAATATTTTTTAAAATATTCTCCCTGCAGTTAAGGCAGGTATCCCACTGCTTTACAAGATTTTTTTTTAGTCTCTTTGCATAAAAATGGATTTGCTGTTTGCAAACCCATTCCATGACTCTATCTTGCATATCATTGATTCTATAGTTAAGCACATTGTGCATTATTGAATAGGTTGAGCCATGACTAATCTGCGAACAGTTGGCAACTTCATCAACAATGATGGACCAGTTAATCTGGATCAAGACATTTGCAACAGCATTGTTAGTGTCCGTGATGGGCAACTTTTGTCTTCCACTATGTTAGTTATCCAGTACTGATTGTCATCCTGCACAAAACCTCAGCCCATTTGAAGACTTTTGTTTTGACAATGCATTCTTGTCATAAACAGCTACTAATCAACAATGAATTTTACTGGGTTTAACTTTCTCTAACATCAGAAATTCAGCCACTGAATGCTGTATTTCCTTGGATGGGCTCTCACTGGTGGATATCATTTTATGGAGTAGTTTTCTCATGCTTCTGTACATTAGCAATGCTGCTAACTTGTATAAAATCTTAATAACCAACATTACTGCATACCTGCCAAATTCTGTTTTTTCAGCATGAATGCTTTATTTTAACAAAATAATTCTGGTTTCTTTTTGACTGAACAAAATATAAATTTTGTAATGAAAACATATACCAATATTAATATGATGTTAGGGTATAGCTGCTGTTTTGCAAAGAAGAACAGAAGAAGAACCACAAGTTGAGGTTGGAAGACTTGGTCCTTCAGATTATTTTGGTTAGTAACATTTTTATATTTATAATTAAATATAATTTATACAATTCTACAGAATTAATAAGCATTGATAGAGAATTTATTTGTATTAATTGAAATCCTATTTTTCAAATTCAATGTGTAATATAATCAGTTTCATTTATATTAATTTTTTCATTGCATTTTTAATATTTTTATTATAATGAAAATAACTAATAATGCACAAATTTACATGTTTACATGATAAACTTGGCATTTAATTTGTAAAATAAACATTAAAAAATCCTGGACAAGATATATTTTAAAAAATACCATATTGAACACTAAATACAGAAAAAATTTTGAAATCTGAACATCCATTCACAATCATTGGAACACAGTTAACACTAGTAAAGTTGACTTTTCTTTAAAGGCTCCTCTCTGCCTTATACTTATGTAAAATATGCCTTTAAAGAAAGGTAAACTCTACTAGTGTTAATTGTGTTCCAGTGATTGTGAATGGACATTGAGACTCAAAAAATTCTTTAATATTTAGTCTTCAATATTGTATAATGTAAAGCTAATATCAACAATATTTGCCAGATACAATCTCTTATTTTTGTAACCACCAAAAAAGAGGGTTGTAGTCAAATAAACAAATTTGTTGTGTCCTTCCAATCTGACATTCCCCAGAGGTCAATAACCACTCAAAACAATTGTAATTCACAGATCTTTATTTATATGCATTTTTAATCAGAGTTTTTTCTGATCCCTCCTCAGTATAGGTGCACTCTGACAATCTTCATTTTTCTGAGTAACCTTACATCAATCACAGTTACAAACAAAGGATTATAACAATAACTGAAGACAGTCAAGTTTTTTAATTGAATTTATATTACAGTATATACTTTCATTTTTTTTATAATTACATGTTGGATTCAAATAAAAATTCAATAAAAATATTTAGATTAAATGTTATAATATCAATATAAATTATTTAACACTTTCTGAATTTATCATTTTTAATTCCCATAGGTGAAATAGCTCTTTTATTAGATCGTCCTCGAGCAGCTACAGTAATGGCTAAAGGCCCTCTTAAATGTATCAAATTAGATAGAGCCCGTTTTGAACGTGTTCTTGGCCCATGTGCGGATATATTGAAGCGTAATATGGCTCATTATAACAGCCTTATTTCATTATCTGTATAACAACTAATGATATAAAGGTAATTTATTAACATATTACATTTATGAGAAAGATTATGTTTTATGGTTATTTATATACAATGAAATTATTGTAAATTAATGATATAAAGGTAATTTATTAACATATTACATTTATGAGAAAGATTATGTTTTATGGTTATTTATATACTAAGAAATTTTTGTAAATTAAATATTTAAATCAAGTTCTAGATAAGAATAAACAGAAAAATAATTTAGATATGCCACTTGAGAATATTTTAACATAGGAACACGAACGAACATTAATCTCAGTGCCTTTTTATCTATGTATGTGTACAAGACTATGATTTTTTAATAGAAAATCTCAAGAGTATATTCACGAAACGAACTGTTAAAAACGTAAATTAATTCGTTAGGTAAATATTAATTTAAATAATAATTAATTCTCTTTTAAAGAAAAATATATATATAAAACTCTGTCGTGTATAATTACTTGATTGGTAATGATTTCTGTGACGTCACACACGTCGAAAATTTAAATTTTTAAATTTCAATTATTAAAAATAAACACGTCTCACCATCTATCGACGAAGAATGGTACTAATGTTAACCTTGTATTATTATTATTATTATTATTTTCANATAAACTGATTAATATTTAATTCCAATTTCCTGGAGCACTTCATATACACACAAAAAATAAGTTTAAGAGAATACTTGGTTTCAAATTTCAAGTATTTTTTTCTATTGTTAAAACAACTGTTTCTTGAACAATGCCTATTTTAACTTAATAAATTAAAATTTTATAAGAATCTTACACACCTCAATACTGTAAAATTAACAAATTGTATATATTCACATACATGTATACAATTTACTATTCATTATACAGTCGACCCCCATATAAGATCATTGATTATTCCGTTTTATATGAATTCCATGTTGTACGAGTCATTTAGATTTTACAAATACGTGTACCGGGCTGTGAACGGCTCACGTATTTGTAAAATTTAACATTGTACAACATGGAATTCATATAAAACGGAATAATCAATGATCTTATATGGGGGTCGACTGTATTAATATTTAAAAGATATACTTAAGAAAAAGCTTTGTTTTTGTTTAATGTATTGCAAGAATCTAGTGGAGATTACTTTTTTTTATATAATATTGATCACATAATCATACAAAAATATACTACTACTATTCCATCCTAATACTCTTAATAGATTTTCTTACAACAACTCTACTGCATCTTATATGATGCCTTTATTTTTCTTGAGTAATTGTATTTTTAAATATATTTTGTTTATAGCTTAATATTTTTATGTTCTTATAGTTAATCCTTTTTTACAATGCCTATTTATAACTCTGTCATGTAATGGAATCTTATTCTTATTCAGGCTGAATATGGGGATGGAATACATATACATTTCACTATTGATTTTTTTTTTCTCTTATTATTATGGATGATTTAAAAAATGGAAAAATTCTCTTCAATACATTTTGACTATAATAAATAGAGATTCTACTTTTGTTTTCTTTATAGTGAAATTTTTAGTCTTTCAAAGTATCTTGCTTTAAATCCTCAGAAACTAGTAATATCTGTATAAACTACAGATGTAGACTCTTGCTGATCTAGCCTTTCCTTATATAGAAGCATGTCAGATTAGTGAGAATGCTGGATTATATAGAGTATAGGCCTAAAGGCAATGAATGACATAACCTGTCGCCTTTTGGTATTGATTTTTTTTAATGGTAGGGAGGAAATAATACAGTACAATGACATACAGTACTGAACACAGAAATACCCATTCCAAAGTAACAGGAAAACAGGATGTGTAACATGACTAACATTTTCATGGAAATAGAAATGTATAGGTCATCACACTGGGAGGTAGGCTAGATAATTGATAGGCTGGATTAGTAAGAATATACTGTATATTTAATTATTACTTTTATTAAAATGTAATTTAATTCAGGAATTAAATTTTTACTAATCAGAACAAATACTTCTACCTGTCAAACTAACAACAGAATGCTAATATTCTATGATTAATTTAAGAGAATTATATGAGCCAGTTTTTGTGAAAGAGAACAATACAATCTTTAAATTTTATAGTAAATAATAATAAGTAAATAATAATTTTGATGTTAAGATTTTTATGAAGGTTTCTTTTGATCTCCAGATGGTTAAAAAAATTCAAATGTATTATCAGACAAAATATAATGGAAAATTAAATATTTGAAAAACAAAATAGGATTAATTACTACAAATAGTAAAATAATATATAAATAAATATTTTAATTAGATTAAATTTATAGTGGAGGGATGAAACAATTGTTAGCAAAATGTGCTCTGATTCTTATGACACAAATTGATTTGTTTATTGAAAATAATTTGCAAAGGTTTAATTGGAAAAAGAATTTTCTGTAATTTAATTGAATATATAATTTTAACTCGTTGTATAATGATGGAAAAACTTTTCCTTAGTTTTTTTTAATAATAATTTTGAGAAATATACAGTTGACCCCCCCCTATAATTACGGTCCCTATAATTACGATTCCTATAAAACTACGAAAAAATGTACGTATTTTGGAAGTGTTGAGTCGGATTAGTGTAGAATCAATTAATTTTATGGAAGAAAATCTTTCAATCAGCCGTAGTCCGTAAACTTGACACGTGTCGGGCTGTGATTGGAACGGCTTGTAAGAAATCGGATTCCTAATAAATTGGAACATATCTATATCTTATAGGGGGGGTCGACTGTATTTAGATTTAATATATCTTTTTATGCTTTTTTGATGTTTTTATTGTCTTTTTTGTAGTTTTGTTTCAAAATGTGGGTGAACAATTGGTTATATTTTTAACTTTTGTACTGTGATAGAAAATTAACTTGACTACAGCAGCGTCAATAGCCTTTCTCACCAAGTTTATGATAGACAAATACAACTTTCTGTCTGCTCCATTGTGTAAATATTCCCAAAATTATTCTTTTCTTTTCAACAGAAGTTCTTGAAACTCCTTATTAGAACATTGTCTTATTCTTGTAGTTCATTTTATAGTTCATTTTACTCAAAATATAAACAAAAAGTACCTATAGCTTTAAGTTTCATAAACATTTATTATCTAAACATTTTAAACATCCTAATAAGATAAGCTTTCTACTATCATTGAGACTCTTGGAAATGAACCTTTTAGTTCAAAGTGTTTCTGGATTTTTTCTCTTATATACAATTTGCAATATCCTATTTTTGACAAATTCTTGAAACATTTAATACTAGAATATTGCACTTTTCTCTATCTAGAATAGTTGCAAATAGTCATTTTGAGCATTCTTACTACATATCATTTAACATGCAGAAAACAGTTTCAAATTGTTCAAGAATGTTAAAAAATGATTAGATTAATATGGAGATAAATTTCCAATAAGATTCACTTTTCAATTTCTTATTTTGAAAGAATATTTAAAATGGAAATAGAAATGCCATGAAAATTTACACTTTTGTAAGTCACTGCAACTTAAACACTGTCTAATGTCAAATAAAAAAACTTTCTCTGCAATACATTGACTGAGCTCAAATGTTAAAATTTTTACAAAAAGTAGAGTGCAAATAGTTTTTTTTATAAATATTTGCTACAGGCCATCTGGATAAGGAAGATTATATGATAATTATTTTGTTTTGGCAGTATTCAAAATTTATTTATTTATTTACAGAAAAAAGAAACTGTCTTAGGTGTTAACAAGCAAATTTACTCAAAAACTTTTGCACATGATAATTATCTCTTTTTCATCATCAAAGGAACAGAATAGTGGATAGACTAGTGGTACATTTGACCTTGTTTGGAATGAAGTGCAAATATTACTATCTTTTACTGATTCCAGGCTAACTTTTGTATGAGAGAGAGTTCACAGTTTACTTGATAATCCTTGTAATTCTCTAACTGTGACCCTTAATTGTTCAGTAGATTTTTGGAATGTTGATTCTAGCAAATACTAATTCTGAGTTTAAAAACAATTTACTAGGCAACTAAGTTTAAAAGCAATTAATAAGAGATGATTGTGATATTAACAAGGCTTTCTTGTGCCTTAATAATATCTTATTAATTTCCATTTTTCTTTTAAATAATTATCTCAATTATTGCTAGCTATTTATAGCTATCAATAATTTATCTTTTTCTTGTGTGGTAGTGAATTATACATATTTTAATAAATTTGTTGGTAATATGAATTAGTTTTATTAAGTTATCTGCTTGACAGATTGGTTCATATCTAGGATAGTGATTCTCTTATGTCTTTATAGTAAATAAAATTACTTTATTTTCAAAAGGGAACATATATTGTTCTCTGATTCATTGTTTTTTCAAATACTGTTCTCATTTAATCAAATATCTACATCAAATATTATTTAAATGCTTATCATATGCATACGTTGTGTATTCATTTTCTAATGGGCACCATTCCAAAAATTTGTTATACATAATAAAAAAAAACTCACTCAAACATCAAAATATTACTAATAAGAAAATGTTCATATTATTAAACCTTGTTGTAATATTAAACTACATTGATGTTTGAGTGAATTTTCTAATATGCTGTTGAAAAACATTTTCTTTATTCACTGTAGTTTCTTTTAAAAACTGAAGGCAAATATTGTTAGAGATATATTTTCTTCACTCATAGCAGACTGCTTTTAAAAGTTATTTTAATAATTGATATAAACTTTTTCTATAAATATTTCAAATTAACATTGAAAAACTTTGATCTGTGAATGCTGTATTCTCAGTAAACTTTATCTTTATAAAATTAATTTTAAAAGTGAATTTATTTTTAAATAACTTTATATATGACTATGGATATAAAAGATTTAATATATCTGAAATTTATGTTGCAATGTTATTGTTAAAATTTCAATAAAGGAAAAACAAAAAAATTACACTAAAGTTAAACTTTTTATAATTATTGGGATAGAAAAATGAATTTACATGAAAACAATACTTTTATCAAACTTCTCCACAACACCATGTATAGGAA